TTTCCCGGGGACATGTGCGACCGCGAACAACCGTGGGCCAGACTTAAAGTTCCCAAGTTGTTCTACAACACTACAGCCTGTAATGAACTTCACAGCACACAGTTGTGTTTATTCACTCGAAATATCTCAAAATTATATACAGTATTATTTCTGGTCTCTGGGTCTTTGGATGTTGTTTTTTTCTCCGTGCAGGGAACACCACCCAGCATGAAGAGCTAGCATCCGCATTTTGCTGTATTTTGTTTACTGTGCTCTCCCACTGTTTTTTTAGCCAGATCGTCTATGGTTGGCTGTCTGGCGATGTAGCACTTGAAAACAAAAAAGTCAGGAATCAGGAGTCTCTCCTTTTCATTAAATATATCAACCACCACCCAAAATGTGTAACAGCTAGGATCTGCATTTTGAGGTATGTTGTTTGTACACACAGTGCGATTTAACACACATAGCTTCAATTCTGACATTATGCTAGTTTGATGTCTGAATCATAGATTTCCCCTTCCAAAAAGTTATGTTCCCGTTTTCACCTGAACCGACCCTGAGTTGTGAAAATTGCCAGCGAGGGGGGACAACGGATGCACCGGATGAAAAGGGCTCGGATGAACCGCTCGTTGCTTGGGGGGGGGCATCATGAGTTGGCCTGGCCTTGGGTGAAACGTCCTGACCCCACCGTTGCGCGGGCCAGGCCTTTCCCACCTCTCCTCGGAACACCGTCCTCGGTCGGTCACTCTCCACTCTCCGTCCGTCTCCGTGTTGAGCTGCCGACCGGCATGATCCACCAGGCTGTTTGCCTCGCGCCGTCGTGGCTTGGAGCGACGTGTTGACGCAACGAGAGGAGGCGAACACAGCTAGCTATAGAGCCTCTTATGGAGAGCTTGGCTTAAATAGAATGCCAGCTAGGTGTTCGCATAGCTAGGATAAATAGTTCATGCTATTAAAATTAGAATGATAGCTAGGATAAATCCTAACAAAATGGCAGGGCTATTTAGTTCTGCAAGTACAGCCATGTGCACCCAAAGCCCACCAGCTTCTAGGCCACCCCGCCAGTTGCCAAACAGCATCAATCAAGCCATGTTCCCGGCCAATGGTGCCTCCAAGTCAGTGTTTGTTTCAGTCTTGGCACCCAGATTGCCAACCCCCAACTAAATTAAATGCATGCAGGCTTCTGGCTTGACATGGCTTGACCAATGGCTGCTTGAAGCGCAAAAAAGCAGTCTTGGCATATCAGTCCCCCAATTTTCTTCCTGGTGCCGGCACTGTTTGTTTTTCCTTTTTTGACCTTGGATCGTGGCATCTTGAGAAGTACTCCCCCGGCCATCCGAGACTGCGCCAAGCGAAGTGCTTCGCTTGGCAACGCGATGCCAAGCGATGTGCTCATGGCAATGTGTCTTTCTGTTCCTCCGAATGCGTGGCATGCCTCACCGGGACTCCAAATCGGTTTGAGAAGACAGAAAGGACCGGCACTGCACGAAGGTGACATCGGGTTTCCCTGGGAAGTTCACATTTGTTTTGTGGAACATGGTTGCAGTACCTGGTGCATAGTAATTATCTCATTTTTTGGGGAGGCACATCCCAATTTATAGGGCACGTGAGACACACACAGACCGCAAATAATGTGAGGCAGGGGTGACTTCAGAGGTGTCTCAAGTTCATAAACTGGCTGGGAAGCGTGATACTCTTCCGCATTTCAGCTGTAATTCAAACTATCTCATCCTACAAACCATCTAAGATATCTAAGATCGAATCCATATTGACTTGCCACATGGTTTATTCATGTGCATTTTGCTGCGAACTATTCCGAACCCCTAAACCCCCCAACCGACCTTCCACTGACCGCGTGGCCCAGACCGCACGCTCACGCTCACGCTCCGGCCTTGGATGGACAAGACCTTCGGAGCGTGGCCGCGTCCAGGCCTTCGGCACATTGAGACCGGGACCGGAGGCCAGCACCAGGGTTTTTACAGGGTCCCAGGGAGCATGAAAGAATGGGTTCTATTGGGGGGAGAGAAGGATCACTAATAGGTCAAAATGAGGTGCTTTGGTCAAAATGCAGGCTCCCCCAAAAACGGAAAGTCCTCTTCTGCGCAATTGTTCTCGCTGAGAAACACGGAACAATTTCAGTTTCAAACATCTTCAGAGTCACTTCCAAACCAAAAATTACTGAGCGTTTGAAATTTTCAGTTATCTATCAATTCTGCTTCCGAAAGCACTCCACTCTAACTTGGGCAAAGAAGTCAGAGACCATGAAACTTCATCCAACACTCACCCATCGTCTGTGGCCAAACAAAAGACCCCCCAAAGACTTCCGCCCTCGCACCCGGCACCGACCGAGCTCAGCGCCTCCCGCTGCCGAGCGGCGCGGCCGCGGCGGTCGCGGTGGGCAGCTCGCTCAAAGCGCCTCCAGCTCGCCTCCGGAGCGTCCGCACGCGCGACCGAGCGGAAGACGACCAGGAAACGCTGCGGAATGGTTTGTTCCATCTGGTCGCGTGAGCGTTTCGCGGTGCTGGGGAGACATCTGTAACAAGGTTGTTCTTGACAGGAAGAGACAAAGTTAGAGATGTCATATGGAGAAAAATCACACGGAGTGAGGTGTGAGGTCTTGGGGTCCCCCACAGAAGTCGTCCAAGTCTCAACATCAATCAGTATCATACAGACCAACACTCACGCTGGCGCGTGCCTGAGTGACTCAGTCATCGTATCATAAGCCGCTTGTACTTGCAAAGGCGTGCCACCTTAGATCCAAGTTGCCTTGCTAACAAACAATTTGTGTGATGTGAATATACGTGAATTGTGATGGTCTAAACGGGCAAAACCTCTGCAAATTGTCAAATCGGCACATGTAGATGCTCTAGTTTCTGGGAAGGCCCAGTTTGTGGACTGGCAAATGATCTCAAGATACATTTGCCGATCTAGGCCGACATCTGTCTCTGGCTTGCAGAACACATCATTTCATCCAGAACTCAAAAGAGAAGGCTTCAAGAGGCAACATCTTCTACCCGAGGGGACATTGATTTCTGGCCAAGATGCTTAGAGAAACGACACTGTAGCCTTGTGCTTTGGTGTCCTACACACACGCACAGCTCAAAACCTCAAGATACTTCGAGTCTCCAAAACCCTTGCTACATCGGCACATGCACACACGCAGCTGGTGGCTGCTTTCGGAAAAGACTTCTGCACCTTCCGGACGCGAGTCACCCCCTGCAACTGCCGCTGTCAGCTGCAGTGGACCACCCCTGACATCCATCCCTTCCCCCTCTGTCCATCCGCCGTCCTGGTTCACGGCAATCTTGGCTCCGGTGCTGGCCTCAAACCACCGAGGGTCCACCCCTTGCTTCGTGCGACACCCGATGCGCCCGGCTGATGCCTCGATGTCCTTGACAGCGGCGCCGGCTTTGCCCAGAAGCCATCCCACCCACTGCTGCTCGACCTGGGTAGCTTCTTGGGCAGTTTCCTCTTCTATAGATCTACTGCAACGACGTACACCTTTAATCCAGGTTCCTGAAAACCACAGGGTCCGAACTTTCTGAGAAAATTCCGGGCTTTCACCGTAAAAGACCGCCTGTGCCAGCTCTAAGCCTTTGGCCGTCACCTGAGTGCTGATGGAGCTTCCTGAGTGGGATTGGGAAGTCTTCCATACAGCTGTGAAGTGCTGGATTGAAAATGGATTGAACACATAATAATATATAATAATATATTGTTTAAAAAATAGTTAAAATGGCAATGGCCTCCAACCTAATAGCGATGGCCTCCAACCGCCTAATAGCGATGGCCTCCAACTTGATATCACGGCCTACTTCAAAATGTTCTGTGTAAGTCCCAAAACTTGTCCAAGACTTCTGAGGGGGAGGACCAAAACAAAAGCAGATGCTACAAAAACAAGATATTTATCACTTGTCTAGAACTAAAAAAAATCACTCTATATGGGTTATGTTGGGTTAGAGTCGGATTCGGAAACTCCAGTTGCGGCAATCCCACTTGTTTCCCCTTGGTTGGGGTGCACGATCACGCGAATTCGCGCTTCCGGCGACCACGGCGTCCTCGGCTGCCGCCGGCGACTGGGGGGAAGTCCGCCGCCGCGACGGCTTGAGCACGGACAGCCTCGGGCAGATCGCCGCAGCCGCTAGGGAGCTCGAAATCGTGAGAAGTGTGGAAACCTGTTTTAACCGAAGAAGAATTGAGAAACGTTTTTTGATCGCCCTTGATCCATCCTCTTGAAAGTTACCATATCTTGTTGAATCTTGTTGACATATATTTGCTCATGTGAAAAGGCAAACCCCCAGACATAGTGAAGACAAGTGGTTGGTGCTTGCGGTTGCATTTCGGAGAGATAGAAAGAGTTTGACTGTTAGTTGAAGGAGTATAGTTATAACGTTTGCTGCACAACTTCCGTGTTCAACCCACTACGCGCAGGCAAGAGAATGAGCTTCTCGCCGCCCCCATCTTGGCTGCCATTGGAGCAGCTCCTGCCTGTGAAACATGCAGACAACGTACGAGTACCAGCGATCTTACTCAGTTTGACACCTCGCAGATGGAACGCACATCATGTATTACGTGATACGAAAAGAATATATTTATCATTGATATATTGCAAGTAATATATATATTATATAATAAATATATAACTATATTAATCTTTATACGACAGCATAACTCATGTCAACTCTGTGCAAAGTCTGATGACCCACACGGATGAGACCAGGGATGAGCTGATCACTCCACTCCTTCTCCAGGTGAGCGTTCACCCGGTCCCGCGCATTGTCCACCTGGTCCGCGGTTCCCGAGAAGACCACCTCAAGGGGCCAAGACCGTTCTGAAGACATATCGATTGATTCTATAGCAAGAAATAGCAATATAGATGGTGGTAGATTGGAGATATTCCACCTTCTACTCCAGGATGTTTCTTCAACATCTATACAGTATAGCCTCAGATGAGACCTCTTCCAGAGATCCACGCAGTGCTGTAGCCCAGTTGGCTGGTGGATTGGTCGATGAGGATGTGAGCACCCGTCTCCTGCCATGGGTTCACATTGAACATAACGCGCCGAACGAAACGGTACGGAACCGATATGACATCATTCAGATCAGGGATGATCAGGGCTTACCTCGAAGCAACGATGATGCGCTGCTGATGATGCTGACGACGACGATGATGATCAGCGTCTGTTTCTCAGGTCGCTGATCAATCTTACCCCACCTGACCCACTGGTTTCAGCACCAAAGAATGCCTTTTGGGTTCACCACCATGTATGGTGAACCGCGGGGTCAAAACCCAAAGCCAGTTTCACCCAAAAAGGAAGTCGTCGACCTTCCCAGTCGCTCCATGCCCCGCGGGTCCCAGGGATGGTGACGACCGGAAGGACGGACTCGGCGACTGGCGACTCGATGGCGACCCTTTGAAGGGTATGGAGACCATACTAGGTATCAACCCTTGATAGGGTCTCCATACCACTAGGGTCTCCATACACTCCTCTCTCTCTAGACGTCCCCCCCGGCGGGCGCTCCAGTTCGATCTCCTTTGCCAGGCCACCTGGGCCCGGCGAGTCGAACGGTTGAGTCGAGCGAGCCGAGAACGCGCTTCGCACTGTGGCAGTTGTCGCTAGCTCCGCTTGAGGTCTTTGTATTCCAGTCTTGACACAACATGATATCGCCGATGCCTCTGAATTAGGCATAAATGTACACGGCAGCATCTAGCGGCCGTGTGGGTCGCTCTTTAAAATCATCAGACTGACAATCAACTGATATCAACTGACAATCAGTTCAAACCATGATGTGCATCTGGCAAACATTGGCAAACACTCCGTCTCCCCACTCTCCAGGCCTTTCTTGCCCAGCAACCATCCAACCCAGCGTTGCTCGACCTCGATGGACTCCTAGAACGGAGGCCGTGCCGCGGGCCGTGCCGCGGCATTCGTTGCATGTCCGTTGAAGAAAATGGAGGACCGGCAAGCTACCTGGTCTTTCAGCGCTTGTAAATGTGCGCTGCTTCATCAGATTAATGATCAAGAATTACTTATACGTTTCAAGCCAAAACGGAACACCATGTGCTCCTTTCCGACCTGAAAGCCAATCACCTGCTCCGAAAATATCGTGAGTCCAATCGGTCAGTGGGGGTCGACTGCCTATCGCTGCAACGACTCGTCTTGCCGTTCAGCCGTCCGTCGAGAGAAGGAGCCAGCGAGGACTGTGGGAGACTGCTTTCAGCCAGCTTCCGAAAGGGATCTATAGGTATGTACCGAACCTCAGGTTAGGTACGACTGGACCCTCCTGGCACCTACATAACAGTGTCCTCCAATCACCTTCTGACTAGGCGCTTGGATGCCTAGGGTATATGCTCCTTTGTCTGCCATTTTTTCCCCTTTGGCTCCCAAGGAATGTCTTTGCTTTCCTGTGTTCAGCTGCGACATTCCTTGGTCGGCTATTTAGCATCGTCCAAAAACAAGTTTTCTTATGTGTTGATTGTTGGTGTGTTTTTGTTTCGGCCCACCCTTGGTGGCTTCCGCAAGTTCTTGCAACATGGAGCCCAGTTTTGGTCCATGATTCTGCCTATTCTGTGCCAAAACCACGAACCCTTGTGGAAGTTTCTTGTTGTGTTTGCGGTAAGTGGCTGAAAGGCAGGGCTGCTCTCACACCGCACTTGAAGATGGCACATGGACTATATCCTTATTTAACTCATTTTCTCCCGGACAGTACCTGCCCGGTGTGCCGGAAACTTTTCATTTCCCGTGCTCAAACGTTGCAGCACGTGTACCATTCTAGTTGTGGTGCTGTGCTTGGTGAGGGGTCTTTTCCCTTAGTTGACCTGGATATTTTTGAGTCCTTGAACAGGCAGGACCGGTAGATGTGTAAAAAGTGGCAGTAAGTTGGGGATTCACTCTTTTTCGTTGCCTTGATGGCAACGAACGAAGCTCCGTCGGAGGCTCAGTGCCAGGTCTGTCGGGCTATGTGTAGGAAAGGCGCTGCAAACTAGAAGCCCGCGCCAATCCTTCGTCATGCTTGAAAAAATAATTGCCCTTGTAACATCATGTAACCAAACCCACTCATGTAGTCTCGTGCACGTGTACTCACTACTTGACTCCGTACATGATCCTGCTCGACCAGTTACTTTTTGATGTCCACCACATACAGCAAACGTCTAAGAATCATTCGAGATTAGCGAATCGACATTCACAGCCCAAGTCCAAGAATCATTTTTAGAGATATGAGAAACCACACATCTCACTAAACATCATGTAAACTCAACAGCAAAAAACATCTCAAACAACACATGTGGACATCAATGCGAACTCAGCCAAAGTCTTGGAGAGTAGTAATTACATCGAGATTATATATATATATATGGCAACCACATGGAAATCACATGCTTGTGAAAAGAAAAACAATACATCTTCTTACTGTTGATTCCTGGTGTTTTTGTTAAACAACAAACACCCTCTCGACCGTCTCGACCTCTCCACCCGCCTCTCCTCAGCGACCCTTCCTTCTCGAGCCACCTTGGCCCGGTCGATGGACTGCTCGATGGCTTGCCTGTTCGTTCCAGAGGCCCGACAAGCAGGAGCAGAAGAAGGGTCTGTGAACCGCCACCGCCGGGGTTCTGATGAACAAAGGGATCTGCGAAAAAAGGGGGGTCTGATCAGGTCTGTACAAAAGGATATAAGTCTGATCAGGTCGGAAGAAGATCTGTGATAAGAATCTTTTGACCCGGCACTCCAAGCCCTAAAGAGGCCGTTTTGGGTGCACGAAGGCCGTTTTGGGTGACCGGAACGTGCCGTGCCGGACCAAAAGTATCTGCGCAAACTTGGTGTATAGGGAACGCCTTGCATCTGCATTATTAGCCCTTGATTATCAGGGCCGGGAGGTGGTCTCAAGCAAGTCTGCCAAGCAATTGAACCAAGCCCCATGGTCTCTTTTTTGGAACGTCGCACTCCAAAGACCTCCCGAGGTCCTCCACATCAAAGAGAACATGGTTTGGGAAGATACAAATAAGAAATAAGCGAATCCACATATCCTTTGAGAATCCAACGACTACATCTGTATATATATATATATATTATACATGGTTGATCTAGCTTGGGAAACTCACCAAACTTGCCACAAAAATCAGCCAACATCGGCATACCCTCAAGACACACGGATGGCACCAAGGAACGACCGCCTTCACATGCCACCCGGGCACCAGCCTCGCATCCGAGATTTGCTGTGGCGATCCCATGAATTGCACCTGGGCCGGTCACCCCGAGCCATAAGTGTTGAGGTGGAAATGACTTCGTGCACCGACGACTATGGTTACTTCCAATTAGTGTTCAAATGAGAAAAGGTCCGACTACTTTCAACAGTTTTCAAAGAGAAAGATTCTATCCTATCCTGGTGTTTTTTCCAAGGTTCATTGTTAGAACTTCTGCTTCTTTTCCTCCGAAGCGTACGTGGCCAACCCCCCAGTTCACTCCTCGCGCCGTCCTCCCCCCACCTGGTCGCCCGTCCAAACCACCGGGTTCGGTTCCTCCGGGGTCGCCGTCTCTTCTCCGTTCCAACGAGCCGGTCGCCGGAGCCAACGAGCCGGTCGCGTTTCGTTTCGTTTCGTTTCGCAACGTCCGAAGGGGGGGTGACTCTCTGGACGAAAGGACCGGGCCGATGTGACGAGTCTGGGCCTCCGATGTTCGGTCCTGGAGTCCAGGACTGGAACATCGGGTTTCGATCCGAAACTGGCCTTTCATGTGATGGTTTGCCAGTTTGGACTCTGCTCAACCGAAGTATAGACGTAAGCATAGTATCGACTGAATCCATCGGTGGCATGAATATATCAATGTCATCTGACACTGAGGGAATTGCCCTGCCATGATAGACATGTGAAGTCCCCCAAAAGGCCCAACTCCAGCCACGTGTCCATCCAAAAACAAAGACACACCGCGCCCTGCTTTGTCTTGGGCGCGCGACCGTGCTGTAGCCGAGGCCCTTGGTTTCCTGGTTCACAAAGATCTGACAACCGCTGGCCTCGTCGCGTTCTCGGCGCGGAAACGGATGCAAAGACACGACCGCGACACGGATGCAACGACATTGGTCTCCAGGTCTCAACGGAACATCCATTTGCCTCCATTGCCTCCTGCAGTTGCTTCTACTATAACCCCCTAATTTGCATAATATGTATATTAGTCAATGATTGATGCTTAGTACAAAGCCTTTATCGCAAAACTCAATGTGGCAAGCTGTGTTCTGAGCAGGCATGGCAAACACCCAACAACTCTGGTCACTTTTGATCCGCCGCTCGGCGTCTGACCATTCTCTACCAGCACGTTCTCTACCACTTCAAGCCCTGAAAAATCACAATATCCGCACCTTCTCAATGTCTGCAATGGCTGCACCAGCTTTTCCCAGTAGCCAGCCAACATATCGTTGCCTAAGAAACCGCTCAACCTGTGCCTGTGAGCATTGGCACACCAACCTGCTAACAGACTTATTAATAGAAAAGTCCAAAGCTCCAAAGCAAACTATTGCACAAAGGGATCACATGCACTCAGCTCCTCAGCTCTACACTTCACTTGCAGCTCCTCTCTCATGGTACCAGAGGCTGGGAGACGATCCTCGGCCAAAACAACGAGGATCTTCACTGTGAAGGGTCCTTCGTTCACAACAGAAGGGTCACCGCCTGGAGTAACAAATAGGAAGCCTCCAATTCTCACAACTTATGAAAAAGCTGCTTCTACATACAGATATCTATGTAATTAGGCTGTTTCAAGGAGCTCAAGTTTTGCTCTGAACAACGGCATGGACCAAAAGCACCTTATCCAAGTCCAGCTGTAAACATCATCAACATCATACACATCATAACGAATTTATGGCAGGTCCATCAACACCCAGGCCCATAAACCGCGTGCCGCGAGGTGAGGTCGTGTTGGCCGGGGGGGATGAACGATCACCATGGAGCGACTTCCGATGTTCCATGGGGTGCCGGGTGCCGTCCCTCCTTTCCGTCCAAAACCCGATCGAAGAGTCTTCACCTTCACCTTTCTATCCTGATGCAAAGAAGGTTGACCTCCAAAGAAGAGTCTTCACCAACGCTTTGACCTTCTTACTTCCTTTGACCTTCACTTTCTATCTGATTCGAAGAGTCTTCACTCTCTCTTTCTCGGTGCCAAAGAAGTGGAATTCTCCGTCTGAATTGACGAAGATTCCGCTGAGAATCCGCCGGAAGCCCGGCTCACCCCTGGTAGGTGGAGCGGGGGGGTCGTTCGGTGCTATGACCCACAAGCGATTGTGTCGAAAACCAAAGCGATTGGCTTTAAGCAGCTGAGATCCACGCTAGCAAGCACGGTACATTGCTTGCATCAGCTTGGCCAGCGCTGGACCTCACAGAAAAAGAGCAGCAGTGCAGCAAGACCCAGGATGACACAGGGCACCCAAGATACCAGCTCTGAGCTGCAAAGTGGGCGGTGACCGCTTGACACATTGAGGAGACTTCAACGGATCCCATACCAGCTGCGAGTGCATCGCTACAGAGTGAATCGTCCGCTCGCTCTGAGCAGCTCTGTGGCTACATGTGATTCAAAACATAATTCTCTGGTCTTGTCTCTCCTAAGGACCGAGGGATTTTGTGAGTCATGTCATGTCCTGCAAACCTCCTACATGATGATCGAGGGCTTCGGGGGGATTGAGTGCCAGCTTACTTGGCGCTTGAGCGCCGGTGTTTTCCATGAGGGCTTCAGCACTCGAACACTCATTATATATATATAACAATGCGAACGGATGGAAAGGTGTGCCCTGGCCCCGTTCTAGCTCTTAGGTCAACATGAAGCTCGCGCGCTAAAGCTCCTTTTTACCTGGTTGGGCACTTGAGCCAAAATGGTATATGGCATGTACCTGTATAGCGACTATACTGGGACCCCATCCCTATTGACACCCCCCACATCCGTACTTCGACGGGGAAGGGAGATGAGTGGATGTAAAAACCGGAGAACGATCACGTTCTCAAAAGTGTATTGGAGGTCAACCAGTATGTCCTATTGAATTGAATTAGCAAAAGATCTTGCATTCGCTTGAAAGTTGGATCAAACAGGCAATGGAGCTACAAGCGGAAAACGTGCACCTACCTATGGTATCATGCGATTACCAGCGGTGAGAAACACAATCCTATCTCACTCCCATGATGCCAAAACGGTCATCATGAATTACCCAAGATCCCTCAGTACTTGAAGTACCGGAAGTGGCATGTCGGTATGACCCCAATGCTCAACCATTCGTGAGTTGTCGCATGTAGTCAGCGCCGACAAAGCCAATGTAGTCCTTGATGAGCTCAACGTTCCTAGGATTTCCCGCTCGGATCTGCTCCTCGAAGGACTTCAATTTCTGCGCTTGGATAGTGGATACCTCTATGCCATAGTAGCGGCATGCAACGAGGATCTCCTTCGTGACATTCTTCCTCTCCGATTTGATGGCGGGACTAATGTCGATGAATTTGTATGGAGCGGCACTTTCGTCATCTGGTTTCTGGTAGTAACTATATCGGCTCGCTCCGAAGGTCTTCTTGATCAAGCGTCTAATGAAATTTGAGATGAATGCCAATTTCTCGATGATCTCATCCTGGGTCTCAGACTTTCGAGCCTTTGGATCACTCATGCTACGCTGAGTGCTGCCGACCTCTTTGAGGTACTTGTGGCTAAGCCCGCAGCGGATTGCAGTGATCATCATCGGATGAACAACGTGGGCGTGGAATTCATAGATCTGCCACGCTTCTGCTGCAAACACGTCGTCGGTCCATCTGCTCATGCCTACGACCTCGGCTCTCATGAGACGTCTTGGAAACCCAGTATCCGGATCATTCGGTACTATCGGCCATCTATTGTGTGGAGTGTCATGCCGCTGTCCATCGTCGAACATTCGCAGTACATCTTCACGACTCTCGAAGCAGTTGATGTCGAACGTTGCGTTGGCCAAGCCCTTGATCAACTTCATCAACCTCAAATCAAATTGCTGTGTTACGGCAAAGTTGTGGTCGATGGGGATCGCAGCTTCTTGCGGCAATTCGTCAATTGCGAAGGGGAAAGGCTTCGGAAGTTCATTCCCGTATCCATCTTGAGGGACCTCCCGATACTCGGGTTCGCCTTCAGCTTCGTCCGGTCGTTCCTTCAAAATGATAGGAACTTCCTCCTCTTCCTCTCCTTCGGATTCCTCGATCTCAATGACCTCTTCGGCTGTCTTGCGTGCGTTCTTGATGACTTCATCGATGTTTGCACCTGCAGCAGAAGTTGTCTCACCGGAAGAACTGGCTGGGACGTCTTTCGGAGGTGATCGTTGATTGCGGTCCCTTGTCTCCTTGGGTACCACATGAGTGAGCTTCCCATTCGCGATCAAAACCGCTACGCAGTGCGGACATATCGTCAATCGCACATCGACTTCGCCAAGACAGTTAGGACACGGTCTTGAGTCATAGTCTTTCATTGCTCGGCGGTACACGATCTCCTCGAAGAGTTCCTGCCACTCGGTGCTATCATATTCTGGGTAAACACCACTCTCCTCGATCATACCCAACAGCTTTGAGATTTTGGCGTCGTCCTCGGAGTAGTTATCGTCCTGAACCTCAACCGCTAAGCTCTCAAGCTTTTGAAAGCGTGGAATCATGATCGGGTTTCCGTATTTGGACTCTAGAACAAGGTAGCTTCCAGGGTCGGGTTCCCCATTGAGTAACCGGATCCATTCGATCTCCTCAGGCTGTCCGGGTTCCGCATTGTCGCATTGCAACCATGCCCCTTTAACCTCATCGAAGGGAACGACGTTCTCAACCAACAGAGAGCCAGTCGCTGAGATGAGAAGTCCGTACTCCTGCAGCTTCCACACCGGAATGTAGAGAACCACTGGGCGATCACTCAATGCGACCTTACGACCCAGCCAAGGTTTACCCTTGTAGCCCTGCTCCCAGGCCCATGGCGGAAAACATGTGAAGTGGATAGAATCCCTTCCCGATGAACCAAGACCTCCCGGCACTAGCCCTCGTCGCATGATTGAAGTCAGCGCTCCGAGATTGGTAGCGTGAAATGCAGTCATCATAGATAGGGCCATGTCGTTGGTCATTCTCGACCCAATGTGGTCGATGTCAATGGTAACGTCATAACCTCCGCCGTCCGTTGAGTGTGCCGAGGTTGCTCTTACAGCCACGGGAAAGCACCATCCATCGCTATGGTGGAGTCTTCCTTTAGAGATTCCCATGTCCTTGAGTTCGTTGATCCATTCCTTTTCCATCGGGTCATCAGGCTCATTGAGTTCATCAGGGTGAACGCGGACCGCCAACATTTGGAATCTGACCCTCTTGGTTATGCGGAAACACTCATAGTTCTGGTCGAAGTACTTCTCCAAACGCGCCTTCTTGGTCACGATATCTATGTTGCCGTAGTGATAACCGTCTTCCCAAACTGCATTATCACCTAACAGGTCTTCCCATGACACCCATGCGCCTTCATCGCATTTGATTGGTGCGAGTCTTCCTCCTGTCCTGAACTGGCGTCCAATTCGATGTCTCAACTTCGCTCCCAATCGACGACTCAGGGCCTGGCTCGCTTGGCTGTATTCAGGTACTCGACAGTCTGGAGTCGGATACTTGTGGTTGCCGTAGTCGGAGTTCTTTGCAGCGAAAGTGACTCCGTTGATCGGTACTAGTTCAACTTTCCCGACCATCGTCATGGGGTCGATCGGCTTGTATCCCTTCTCCCTCCGTGTTGGTAGGGGATAGAAGTGATGACATGCCTTTGGTGTGAGGGAACTGGAGTGCACAAATGCCTTCTCTACAAATTCGTACACCACTTTCATATCCTTAGGGCCTGCTTCCGCAAGCTTCCGCCCATTGTAGGAATGTGGCCCTCCTTCGACTCCATCAGCACTTTCGATCAAGGTGAATCCGTCATGGTCGAACATTGTCACGACTCTTGCTTTTAACATTTCTTTTCGCCTGAACTCGCTGTCGACCTTCCTATCTGGAGTGGGCGATGCTCTCTGCTTCTTCTTCTTCTTAGGCTCCTCGGTTGGCTGTCCATATGGTACATCGTCGGGCGCAACCTCTCCCTTCACTCTCTTCTTCCAATCACTCAACACTGAGGTGACTGTAGGTGAAGATGAAGGGGTCTTCTCGCAATTGAGGGTTGTGTGCCCCGACTCCATGCAGTGGATGCAGAATTCTGCCTGCCCGATCTTCCTCTCAAATTCGTCGATGGCTTGCAGTATTGATGTCTTCGGGTCGGACATGTCAACATCTTGCTCCTCCTTCTCCTGTCCACATTCAGTCTCCATATCGACACCTTCGGCCTCGGGCTGGTCAGTGGCTTCTGTTCCCTGTTCTGGTTCTTTCCCAATTTCGAACAGAAGTGGTCGATGTCGAATTCAGGAAGCGGCATGGTCCTCATGCGAACGAGAATCAGTGCCACGTTTGCCGCCTCATCAGAGTGCGGGTCCAAGGTTCTAATCATCGATCGCTTTCGGTTCTCATACGTTGTCCTGTCGTACAGCGATGCAGTGACGCGTTTGATGGATTCTTCTAATCCCGTCCTCAAAGCTTCGATGTCACCCCATCCCCTGAACATGTGCCTGAAGAGTTGAGCAATTTCGAACATGCCCAGCAGCGCTTCCACCATGTCACCTACCCGTTCCTCCGTGGGATCATCTCCGAATATAGTGCGGAATACATCGGGTTCCAGTATGGTCTTGAGGTATTTGGTGTAGCATACGTTGCCAAGGTCATAGGATCCCTGGTAGTACTTGGCGCTGCCGACTATCTGCTTTTCCACATGGATGCTGGGTCCTCTCCTCGTTTTGAAGAAGTTCTCCGTCATTGTTGATGACAACCTGATCCCCCCGAAGAACGAAATCTCCTTCTGGAAACCTGGATTCTCATTGAAGATGATCATCGCCTCGTGTAAAAACTTCATCAAGTCATCGTGCGGATTCATCTCGGAGATTACGACGGTGGGAGAAGATACCGTTTGCCCCATGCCGAAGTTGTGAAGCAATCGAGCGCATGCATGAAATCGCTTCTGGACGTAATCTTCTGCGGACATCCCACGGCATCTGTTTGCTGCTCCGTTGATGCATTCCGCATAGCAATCGTCTTTCAAATCGGAGTCTATGGGATGGCAGACCAGACAGTAATCGCAGCAAATTTCCTCACTCTCCTTAAAGTCATCAATGACGTACCACCTTTGAGTCCTTGAGTACATTGGTTCTGGCTGAAGGACTCCCCAGTACTCATCCATCCATGGCATCTTGTTTTCTCTCCTTACCTTCTCCCTCTTCCTCCTCTCAGACTCATTCTCACCTGAAGGCTCCGCAGTGGACTGATATGCATGGCTTCCTCTTACGGAATCTC